TTTTTCCTCCAAGTTTGCAAGACCCTAGTGGGCCTATTCTTCTGGAATTCAGGGTCTTCTGCATGTGTATGTGATAAGTCAATGCAGAAACATGTTAGTAAATGTTTTTTAAGTAATTGTTTTAAGGCAATCTTATTTTAAGCAATCTTAACTTCTCTTTCATAATTGTGGTTATGGGTGAGAAACTCACAGTTTTGGAGCTACTCAAGGATTGCATCCTCAGAAAACCTCATAGTCTGTGTGTCTCAAATGGACCATGCTCTTTGCTGGCATCCTCCAGTGCCCGCCTCCCTTCTTTAGACTGTGTCTTTGAGAAGAGCGTTCATGTAAATGGGTTTTGAGAGGAGCGTTCATGTAAATGGGTTTTGAGAGGAGCGTTCATGTAAATGGGTTTTGAGAGGAGCGTTCATGTAAATGGGTTTTGAGAGGAGCTTTCATGTAAATGGGGTGCTCTGTTGGCTTTTTGTGGTCAGGCGAAAGCTTTGCATCAACTCCTCCCCAGATGCTGGGAAATGCATCTCACCCCTGGTCTGCTATCTTTTCGTGTAGAGTGAGGTAAAGATATGATTTATCCTCCCGACTGCACACTCAGCACTGTCTCAGGAACTTCCCTTCCAGCCTCTCCACAGGACTTGAAAATTGATATTTCCTTGCTATTGTTTGCTGATTGCATAAAAGATTTTTATCTCTGCCTCACACTAAGTCTCACAGGCTAAGATTTCCTTTCTTTGGTTACACTTTGTCCTCTAAGCACTTTTAAAAGCCTCTCCTTGAGTTTGTCCACTCAGTTTCCCTTATCTTCTTTTCCTCTTGCTTTCTTTTATAACATATCCTGTAAAAAAAGGTATTGGTTTTCAGTCTATGTACGGATGTTTTTCTTCTATCCTTGGAATGGCAAACTGTTCTCAGTTCCTCACTCTCTTCTACTATTTTGTTGGTGACGGTGGTATTTGTTTCTAAAACATCAGCACTCACACATACACCCCCCCCCATGCACACACACTAGATAGCCATTCTCGAGTCACAATCTCATATTGTCACCTGCTAGCCACTACCATTTGTCCTTGTGTTATCAGCTTAGCTCTAATCGGGTGAAATAAAACGGACAAAGAGCAAAGACTACTCATCCTTTCTCTGTCTCTCTCCCCCATCTAGGGACTCAGTACCACAGACATGCCAAACTAAGGGTTAAGCATCTGGTGTATATATATGAAAAGTCTATGCATGCCTATCTGTATGATTTGCATGAGAATGAAGGGAAATTCATGTAGGACAGAGACCCAAAAAATAATGTTACTAGTTATATTCAATTTTAGTAAAATAGAACAGAAACTATATTGACATTTTCCAAGTTGTAGTTGGTGGTTCAAGATTGAAAACCAGTACTTAATATAATGTGATGCCAATAAAAGAGTAGAGAGAATGGTCTGGTGTTTATTGTAAAAGAATTTGGGTTTGTATATGGTTAATTCAATTCCTATTTTAAAGTTTTTAATTTAAATGCTACTTATTTCTTAAAAAGCTATTCAATGGCTTTAAACCTTCATTGGGAATGTCTGGAGCAGAATGCGCGCGAGTTTGGAGATGTACAGGACATTAGTTTGTGAGAGGAGTCACAGCAGGCAATAGGAGGGCCATTCGGAGAGTGATCCCTAAAGGAGTTTGAACTTACTCAGATGATTATCTGACTGCTTTGTTTCTAGCTCCTGGGTTTTTGTCAGGTGTTTTCCACACTGGAGCTGCTGGGTCTTGTGTCACAGGCTGACCTCTCCGCTTGCCCTGCGCTCCCTTCAGGCATGCAGTTCAGTTTTCCAAGTGTTCCGGAGGACACGGCCAGTATTTAATGTGACCCGTAAAATTTATCAGCTAATTAAAGGTCCTTTGGATAGAGAGGTGGTTGATTGTATGTATTTCTTTCTTCATGTTGTCATGCTTCGGAATTGTTGCAGCTTCTATTTTAGCATTATTGTAAGATGTTGTCCTTACCCTCTATTCAATCATGTTCCACCAGGACTTTTTAAATTTTGCTGATTGTATGTGTGTGGATGTCTGGTCTGCATGTATGTCTGTGCACCATATGTGAGCTCAATGCCTGCAGACAGTCTGGAGGCACAGACAGCTGTGAGCTGCCATATGGGTGCTGGGAATTGAACCCAGGTCCTCTGGAAGAGCAGCCAGCTCTTTAACTGTGGAACCAGCTCCCAGTTCCAAGCATATGGTTTTTAAGCTGCTTAAGAGTAAACTGACACTTTCAAGTGTGAGCTGTAGACCACTGTCGTGGCTATCATCTTATGCAAAGGCACCAGTCCCACCCCATCCCTGCTGACTCGGGCTTTGAAGAAGAAAGAACTCCAAGGGAGGCACCAAGTTAACCCACTTACCAATAACCCTGCTGTGAACATCTTTGAGTGCCTGTGCATTCCCTGCTTATGGATGGCTTAGTTGTATTCAATTTCTAGAAGTAAAATTGAATTCAAAGGAACTGGAAAAATCAATGTGCTAGAACTTCAGGACACCGCTTTAAGAGCCCAGGGAGGTGGACAAGATTGCGGTCGTGGCTAAAGACACTTGCCCTCAAGCTTGAAAACCTGGGTTCAAGCCGAGCCCCACAAAGTGGGAGGGAAAAAAAAGCCAACGTCTGCAAGTTGTTCTCTGATTGCCACATCACACTATGGCACACAGGCCCACATCATCTCCTCCCAAAATAAATAAACAAATCTTGAAATTTAAAAGAAGTCCCCGGAGTGAGTAGGGCCAAATGCTAGAACCTGCTGATGAGTCCCGTTAGAGCCTTATTGTTCGCTGGGGGATTGTGATTGACTTGCTGGGCTCTCTGCCTTTCATAGCCTATAGCATAAAGAGCAAGCCTTATATTTCCATCCGAGGCCGAGCCAGGGAGGAGAGTAACTCTCTGTTCCATCTCTCTGCCCCGTAGACTCACAGAGCTTCGTGCAGTTGCCCATCAGATTGCAAGGCTGACAACTCCTAAATATTCCAGATACAGGCCAGAAACCTCCTTAAATTTCATGTCTAGGGAATTCATTCCTGACTTTCTCTGAGTCATGAAGAAAAAGAAATGCTTCTTTTTGGGGGCCTTTAGATTCACCTTCCAAGCCACAGTAATTCTAGCTTTGTTCTGGCATCTACGACCCAGAGCTCACTGTGCAGCAACTTCCTTCATGGCTCCCTCTGTCCCTCTGCCTGTAGAGCTGCAGATATTTTCTTTTACAGATAATGTCAGCCCTTTAGGGGTCTTTAATTCCAGCATGCATACCATCCCCATTGGGTTCCAATATGCTGTCCAGATTTTTCTCTGCACGTCTCCCGCAGCTTCTTCAGTTTCTCAGCTGGCTGCCCTTTTCCTTGGGGCTCTGTCACGTTCTGGGGCTTATGATATACTTTCCTGATAGTGAGATTGTCCAGATCCTCGGTTTGTTTCACAGCATTCTTAAGCTTGCCCATCAAAACTGCCACACATCAGGCCTGCTTATCTGTGTGCCTGTCTGGAACTGTCTGGCAACACCATGCTGTTGGTTTTGCCTTTGTTTGGGATGGCTGCAAGTGGCCATCTGCATTTGTCTTGAGATTACTAAACATTGGTATTCATCCTGGAAGACTCACATACAACATGAACATGCCCCTGAGTTACTTTTCTTCGTCCATCCATATCAGGGCCTTAATGTCTCACAGAACAGTGGAGGAGTCCTTTCTGTCACTTGCCATTCATTATGAGAATCAAGGCATTTAAGTCCCACTTTATGTTTAGATAGTTATTTTGTTGTTGTTGTTGTTCAAGTATGGTACTCTAAGAATGTGGGGAGGGGAGAAGAAAGACTGATTTTGTTTGTTTTGCTCCAAGGTAGGCCAAGTAGAGCAACTTATTTCCAAGATGGCTGCCATTCTTCTCTGTCAAAGAAGACATTTCTGCCTCTGCCTCTCTGAGTTGGGCGGGACTGTCCTATGAATATCATGACCAATAAAATACAGACATGAACTGGGTTAGAAGACGTTTCACAGATTCTTTGTGGAACTCTCCTTATTTTTTTTCTTACAGTGGTGGGGCCTGTATATGCCTATGGTCCATGTAGAGGTCAGAGGACACCTTGTGAGAGCTGATTCTTTCCTTCCACCATGTGTTCCTGGGACTCAAACAGACTATCAGGTTTGGCAGCAAGTGCTTTAACCTATTGAACCATTTGACCCTCTTTGATGGTTGCTCACTCTAGAGAAATCCAGTCACAATATAAGAAATCATAATATCCTGATACTGCCATGCTATGAGGAAGCCCAAGATGGCTACATGGAAAAGCAATGCTGAAGAGAACCATGTGTCTGGGTCCCAGACCCACAGAGGTCAACATTAACTTGCCGTTGTAAACCACTAGGCTTGCGTGTGGTTACTTATGGAGCAACAGACAACTGAAATGCCAATTTTGTTGTTGTTGTTGTTGGTTTTGTGTTTTGAGATAGGATCTCATTGTGTATCTCATTCTGGCATTGAACTCTCAACCCTCTAACCTCAGCTTCCCATGGGCTGGATTGTCGGCACATACACCACTCCCAGCTAAAGGAAGCGTGTTATAAGAAAACCTCTGTGAACTAAAGTAGAAAAGCTACTCTGTCTACTTCAGCCTGGCCCTCTCTCAAGAAAGGCTAACGGCATTTATGTGCGGTTTTCAGAGCTTGGTGGTGATGAACAGGCGTTCAGTGCTGATGGACTAGTTGAGAACTAGACTCTTGGAGAGTCTAACTTACAAATAATAACTTCTTACATGGTAGAGAAAGCTGTTTGGAGCAGAGCACTTTCCTAGCATATAGGCCTTGGATTTGAGTCCCAGTACTCTGCCCACACACAAACCACCTAGGTTTGAAAACAGACGATAATCATTGAAAGTTATAGGAAGAATGCCCCTATGTAGAAATAACCCCATCGTTGAAATAACCATCAAAAGTTATAAGAAGGATGCCCTTATGTAGAAACAACCCCATCCACTCAAATGTATTTGCACATTCCTCACATTTATCAACAAGATAAGCAGAAATACACAGAAGTAAACATCTTTCACGGATTTCATAGCTGCATGATGATAATACCCAGGAGTTTCTCAGGGGCCAGGAGCAACTCCACACACCATGCCACGCTGGTGTGTGTACACTGAGGAGATCAGACTGCAACCTGGATGTTGTTCTCTTCCTTTCTTCATCTTCTCCATGCATTTCTTGTGTGACAAGGATCTGTGCAACAGGGCAAACACAGTAGTATTCCTTATCCAATGGATTCCCCCACAGTTTTACTGATCTGTAGCCAATCATGTCTGAAAATGTTAAATTAGAAAGTTCCAGTCAGGTACAACACATAAATTCCAAACTATTATTATAGTACATCATTATATTTTATAGTGATTACTGTTGTTGCTATCATACTCTGCCTAACTGATAAGTTAAACTTTCTTATAGGTGTCTATGTGTAGGTAAACAGTATGTAAAGGATTTGGTTCTCTCCAAGTGTCAGATGTCCATTGAGAGAATTGATGCATCCCCTGTGGACAAGGCAGGAATACTGTAGCTATCCCAGGATTACCAGAAGGTGCAAAGAGATGGCCTGTGGAAATTATTCAGCACTTTCTCCATACTGAATAAATGGCAAGTCCCTTCTTTCAGAGCCTAGGAAACACATCTCCACATAGTTTAAACTGAAAGACTTTCCCCACAAACAATACCCTGGGTATGAGAAACCCATCACTGAGGAGGACTACAGAAGGGAATTCAACATCCCACCCTAGTTCTAACCCAGACAAGTAGACATTTAAACGACCTGTGAGAAATGAGAGGAGAGGGTTGTGAACAATTAGCAGGAGTGCATGGAATAACTCCCCTCCCGTGAAGGGGAGCAGACAGGGCTGAGTCAGCTCTGGACAGCAGAATTAGAGGAGAGGAGGCCTGGATGTCTGGAGTGCTTTCTGTCAACGTTTTATAAAACTGAGTACCTCTAGCTGTCTGTCTGTCTGCTGAAGAGGAGATCCATCACCCAGTCTGTAAACGTAGCTTTCCCTGCGCCTGTCTCCCCAGACTTCTGTTGTGGTTACTTGTCTCGCTGTGGTTAGCCCCACGTCTGCTTCCCTGTCTCCCTTGTATCATGTGTGCTGTGTGTGTAAAACTCTTTATGTGGAGTCTGGGAATGGTTTTTAATACATTTGGAGCAATAAGCCAGAGCCTCCACCTTTAATACCTGCTCCTGCCATTTCTCATCAATGGGTCTGCAAACACATGTGGGAAGCAGCCGCCCATGACGGGTCGGGGCCCCACCAAGCAAGGAGAAGCAGACGGGGGTGGGGGTAGCCATTGTGCTGAACACCTGTCCAGCTATCAGGAGCAGGAGATGAAGTGTTCTAGGGGCCATGAGGTACAGTGGAGAGAGACTTGGTTATGAACACAGTAAACGAGGGACATCCTGGGCGTAACTATCAGGAGTGAGGAGCAGAAAAATCATTTTCATGACTTTTTTTTGGTACATTGAATTTTAAGGTGAAATAGCATGGCTGTTGCTGGGAGACACCTTTGGAGGTAGACTGATTGTGATTGGTCATATGCTAGGTCTGCCCAGGTTGATTTTAAGATGTGTGGTTGACTATTTAGCTCCGAGCTACAATTTTATTGTCCCCCCAAGTAAAGATAATAATGGTTCCTGTCTTGCTAGCAGATTGTAAAGAGGATCGCACAGTAGTTGCACATGTAAAGTGTATATAACTGTCCTGGCATATTTGTAGATGCCCCATAAGTTATAAATAAATTATTTAAGTTGATAATAACTTCCAAAGTAATGGGGGAAATGTTGCAGAATGAATGTCTAAAGTAAGTATCCAAACCAAGATTTAAAGTGTCACTGACTGTCATGTCTGTCTCCTTGTCAGACTTGAACCTGGACCACTGGGATGCTTTGCTATGGAAGATGTGGGAGCTCAGGGTTTTCCTGGATCTGTGAGGAGATGGACTCAGAGTTGTTCTCAATCCATGGGAAATTGTCTGAGGTCCTCTTCAGAGGAACTTGTCATAAGCCTGTATTACTGTTTGTGTTTTTAAGATGCAGTCGTTAGGTCAGTGGACTAACTCATCAGATAACTAAGGCTCCTGCCGACAAGCCTGGCTACCTGAGATTAATCCTCAGGACCCACACAGGAGAAGGAAAACAGCAGCCCCTAAAAGTCGTCCTCCGACAACATGCACATATACACACTAAATAATGCATGCCATTCTCAACACACATTTTGTCCGGAGACTGAAAGGAGAGGACAGGCCTGTGCACTGATGGCAGTCAGCAGTAAGTACAACAATGCGCTTTGTTAACTGACCCCAACCAGCAATTAAAAATGAAAGGGCTGCCTTCCTGGTGCCGCCTCTCAGTGTGCATTGCCTTCCTCATCTTACACAGAGGCCGAGGCGGCTCCTAAGGGGACAGTAGCTCTCTGAAGACTGCCGGTGATCAGTGGCGTCTGTCCCACAGCTTCTGCTCTGTCCAGCTCTTGCCTTGGCTCCATTTGCTGGATGGTCGGTCACAAGGAGTCAACAGGAGCCTGGCCACACAGCCCTTTGGTACCGTTTAGATCTAGAAAACGGTCGTACCTCTCATCTTTGAAGAGGTCCAGCTGCTTTACCCTTGGGACCAGACAATAGACACTCTCTGAATATGTCAGTCTATTGCAAGATGCTGAGTGTGAAACTTTTAATCAAGCATTTCAGGGAAAGGCCACATCTGGAAGCAGTTATCCAGATGTTATAAACCACTTTGGCCAGCGTTTGCCAGACTGCTGTCCAGATGATGAGTACAGGACACGCCGCTCCATATGTGTAAGACTGTCTGGACAGACAAGCTGGGAAACTTCTAACTACTGTGCTGCAACCTTCCCTCGAAGGGACACCAGGACCTGCGTCTTATACATCTCCAAGACCAGTGAGTCCTGATGACTCAGAACTGAGTCTCTAGGCTGAACAGCACTTGGCCTAATTTCTTCACACAGGGCACCTGTCCCTCATAGCCCGACTTTAGCAAGTAGCAGCTTGCTTACGACTTGCTTTACTTTCCACTAAGGAAAGTGGGGGGAGTGGAGAGTTCTGAATTTCAGAGCAGCTGGAATAAAATAAATGATGTTCCTAGGAAACAGAGTTAGGGTAGAGCTACATGACCCAGGCTTTGTAGGAATAAAAGGACTATACAGCGGTGTCAGCTCTCACCATCATAAGACCAAACTGACATGGGTAACAGAATTTTTCCCCCATTTCTTTTCATTTGTGTGAGTGTGTTATGTGTGTAAGTATGGGGTATGTGTGTATGCATGTGCATTTTCATGTGTGTGGCACACATGTATGTGACATGTGTGAGTGTTCATATGAGGGCCCAAATTTGATGTCTAAAACTTTCTTTCTGTCTCTCTTCCACCTTCTTCTTGAAGGCAGGGTTTCTCAGTCAAACCCAAAGGTCACCTCATCTCACTAGCTAGCTCACTCTGCCTTATCAGGCTCAAGCTGCCAGCATCTGTGTGGCTTCAAGGATCTGAACTTCAGTCCTGCTTCTTGAGTGCCAAGTGCTTTAATGTGGCCAGCTCCATGGGTGACTGATTTCTGACCAAACTCATGACTTAATCTGATTCATACAACCCTTTTGGGTTTGGGCACCAGTCACTACTGATGCTGATAGCTAGAGACTGAGCCCATTTTCTGAACAATGAAACAATATGGCATCAGGTAGAAGACCTGTGAAGGCTGGGAGTAGAGGGTGAACTATTTGCGTTCAGTTCATGGTGGCTAGAACGTGTGGCTGGGGTTCATCATATCCTGGTTCACTATAGAGGCAGGTTCCAGGGAATAAGCAGGTACAACTTTCAAGGTCTGCCCATAGTGAACTACTCCTGCCAGCTAGGGTCCATGTCCTAAAGATTCCATAACCCTCCCCCCACCCCAGGACAGTGCTGTCAGCTGTGAAGAATCGTCAGAGCATGGACCCCTGGGCTGACACTTCAAACTTAGCCCTAACACTACTTGTGTGACCGGGTATGTATTCACCTGAACTGTAGGCTCAGTTAGCGTTAGCCTAAGTTTAGGCTTTCTTCTTGAAGACATAGGAACAGAGCTGGTGAGAGGGCCGGGTGGGCAAAAGCATGTGCTGTGCAAATCTAGTTTCATCTCCAGACCCCATGGTGGAGGCAGAGAACTGACTCCTGGGAGTCGTCCGCATAACCCATGGCATGCTCAACACCCCATCCCCCCACACCCACACTGACATAAGAAAAACAAGGATTAAAACATAGGGACACTGTAGGGCTGGGGATACAGCTCAGTGGTAAAGGGCTTATCTAGTACTGCTGAGATTCTGGGTTCAACCTCAGAACAAATAAATATCACAAATAAATAAATAAATGTGAAGATAACGTAAATAAAAAGTATATGGGCATAGTTATACTTGCTTATAATCCCAGAAAGAGGGAGGCTGTGACAGGAGAATTGTCTGTTTGAGGCCAGCCTGAGCTACATAGTGAGACCTTGTCCAAAAATAAAGAACAAATAAATAAATAACGTCACCACCAAGCATCCTTGCCTGACTCTTGAGGATCCAAACAGATGATGAATGCAAAGGTTTAGTGTGCTCATTTGTGCTAAGCAAACTTGGGGTTCTCCTGTTAGCTGGAAAGTCAACAGCCTCCTACGGGGGTGTTAGTAGCTGGGACCCTTTGTGCTAAAACTCAGACACTTAGCTTGTGCCTGGGCTTGGGGAAGGAAGGGCTGACCAAGGGCTTCAAACTGGCTGATGTTAGCCATACTCCCTCTTGTCATCTGGCCCAAACAGCTTGATTCAAGAAAACCAGCCTCCCCACAGGAATTTCACACATGCAAATGAGGATTTTGATGGTCCTTATAAAATAACCTCTAGTTTAGTCTGAACTGCTCTTGCCATTTGAAAGCCAAAGTCCCCAAGATGGGCCCATTGACTGTACAGTTGTTCTAGTCTGAACCTAGCCACAGAACAACCTTCTTCAGCCTTCCTGTCTGGGAGGATCATGGATCACCGGCTTTACTGCAGACTAGAGAGTTAGTTCCCCTGGTGCCAGTGCCAGTCAGCACTCTGGAAACATCAAACCTAGGAAACAAAAGCAAACCCACATCAGTTCCCACCTTTCAATACAGGGATCAAGCCAAAAAGTCGATGCAGCCTTCAAGAGTGGGAATCCTAGCTGGGCAAGGTGGCACATGCCTATAATCCCAGCATGCTGTTAACTGAGGCAAGAAGATCTAGAGAGTAAGACCTTGCCTCAGGAAAAAAGGTGGGGCTGGGGGGAAGCAACATGCATGCTTGAAAGAGGAGTGAGATGGAGAGAGAGTGGGGGAGGGAGGGAGAGAGAGAAGGAGACAGAGAGAGATAAAGACAGAGAGGGAGGGGGGATGGGAGGAAGGGAGGGAGAGAGGGAGGGAAGGAGACAGAGAGAAAGAGATAAAGACAGAGAGGGAGGGAGAGAGGGAGGGAGGGAGACAGAGAGAAAGAGATAAAGACAGAGAGGGAGGGAGGGAGGGAGGGAGGGGGGAGGGGGAGGGAGGGAGGGTGTCTGCAAGGCCCAGAGCACCAGCTAAGTTGCATTCACATGCTTCCTGACTCGGGCGCACTGGCCCTCCTTCACATGATTGCTTGCTTATGCTTAGCTACCTCTTTGAAAAGCTTTAATTTTTGTTCAGGACAGTGAACTAATTGAGCTCTTGGGAAGATTTTAGCATGGTTTTACCTTGCTTTATCCCGTACATCTGGATTATTTTTCCCCAGACAGAGATCACAAAAGATAAAACTATATTGCCTTCAAAGTGTATTTTTGATGACATTTTCTGCTTTAAACCCAATGACATTTTTGTGATTTCATACAAAGATGGCTTATCCATTCTCTTATGTCTTAGATGGTCCCCTTGTATTGACTTCTAGTTTCCTTGTCCTCAATTGAGACTTCCCCAAAGATTTTATTATATATATAAAGCATATATCATATATACATGCTTTCCTGTCTCAACCATCCTGATCTCAGAGATCTTAGCCACCCCTGTTGTTTTACCTGGATGCTTTATAAAGAACTTTGCTAAGAAACAGAAATGAATAACCCCTGTACTATAAGTACTGAGTTTGGAGCTGGTGGCATTGCTCCCCTGGTAAAGACGCTTACTGTGAAAGCCAAGGACCTGAGTTCAATGCCCAGAACTTATGTAGAGGTAGAAGGAAGAACCAACCTCATTAAGTTGTCCTTTGTCCTCCACGTGCACAGGAAGGCACACAGGTGCCCCTTTCCATCATACATGCACAAATAACAACAACAATAATAACAATAATAAACATTTTTAAATGTTGAGTTTGGTGAACCACAGGACGTCCAAAGAGAAAGTCTAGAACAGTGGTTTTCAGCCTTCCTAATACTACGACCCTTTAATACAGTTCTTCATGTTGTGGTGCCATTGTTAATTTCATTGTTACTTCATAACTGCATTTTCCCTACTGTTATGAACCATAATATAAACATAATCTGTGTTTTCCAGTGGTCTCAGGTGACCCCTGTGACAGGGTCATTTGACACCCCCAGTGGGTCACTGCCCACAGGTTGAGCACTGCTGGTCTAGCAGAAGTCCGGCACGGTGTAGCAGGGCTATGATCCCAGTGTGTTCCCACACTGAGGCAGGAGGATCATGAGTTTCAAGTGAAATCCCGGGCTACCTAACAAGATTGTTAAAACAAACAAACAAACAAACAACCAGTCATCTTTGTCTTGCCTACAGTCATGCCTTGAGAAAGGTTCTGTCTTAATAAGCCACAGGATATTTCTGCATGTTAAAAGTCTCATGAAGCAGGTCTCTCTGATTTTTTTAATAGCCCATAGCACCTCCCATTTCAGACTTCTGTTTATTCATGGTTTATTTTCAGTGTCCTAGTAAATCCCTATGCTACGGGATCATGTGGACAAGAAACCTGTTTCAGAGACTCCCAGTGAGTGCTGTAGCATTTAGGAGCACGTGGTGGTGTTTTCTGTCAAAGATACAGGGGTCTCACTGGGGTCCCCAAGTCAGGTTTCATGCTCTTGGCTTAGGGAGACATTTAGGAAGAGGACCAAAAGTTTTACATGGGTCTAGTCCAAGCCACCACTGGTTTAGGAGCAGGAAAAATGCCCATGACATCCTGTCTTCAACTGAATGATGACATTTGGGGAATAAATGATGTCTATAATAAAACTTTGCAAGGATCACTAGTCTGCAGATATGACTGAGACCTGTCAGTTCCCAAGCTTCTTCTTAATGCTGCCCTCATCTCAATGGGAGTCACCAAGGTGTCTCTGTCCTGTCTAGGGTTAGTTTTGTAAGTCTGGCCTTCAACTTCATCATCTTTTTTCTTTAATAAGTAAATACATATATACATATATATCTATATCTTTATATATATTACACACAAGTGTATAAATACAGACTTCCTAGTCCATTTAGCATTGTCTGTATATATATTGATTTCACGACTGACCACTTGACATTGAATACCAAAGAGGGTGCTCATCCCCACAGAAAACTAGCTCTCCCATTCTCAACATTCCTTGTTGCCTAAAGTTCTTGTGTATAGATGGGGCCCTGTGAGCACTTCTCCTTCCATGTTAGCCATGTCTATTAGTTCTTGTGTATAGATGGGGCCCTGTGAGCACTTCTCCTTCCATGTTAGCCATGTCTATTAGTGTTTTTCTTGTTCAGGTCTTGTTTAGGCAGCCAAATTGTTGGGGTATTATAGGTAAAGCTTCCTGTGAAAGTAACTACTAAAACCAAAACAGATAGCAGCCTTAAAGGAATGCATGTTTAAAGAATAAGAACCATTCATCAACCCAAAGGCAGACTTTTGAGTGTTTGAGAGCCCTTTAGAAGCTGACATCGGTGCACTCCAAATTTTGAATTAGATACAGTATTCATGTGTGGACATTTTGAAGATTTAAATAAATATCACTAGTGATACTTACTGGTTAGTCATACAAAGTCATACAGACATGCTATACTTTATTTGAAAGCACTCGAAGGTTTGCGAACTCTCTACTCCAGAGATATTTTAATGTGCTAATGGTCCATAAAGGATTGACTGGAACATATGAGTTGCACCGTTCACTAGATTTGAAAGGAAAGGAGTTGCCACTAGTAGATTTTGACCAAATGCTTTATGAAAGACACTTAGCAAGAACAGAGCTTGGAAAAGCGGGGGTAGCAGGCTGCCCCTGGCAGCTCCCTCACTCTGCACTTTAATAACTGACTGGCAACATGAGAAAGTAGTTTGTGTTCCAGACTTTGCCTCCTGGTATCTAAATTTTTATAGGTGTTTTGACTGAGGTGTAGAAGAGGCGTTTTTGGGGGTGGCTGATTTCTATTCCAGATTGTGGGATGTGAATAATTTGGTAAATTAACATCAATGGGTTGGACTGTTCTTTGTTACGAGCAGCCTGCCTGTCCCACTGGATGGTCACATTAATTTGCAACCCACAGGAGGATGGCTGCTGGGCACATACGCCCAAGCTAAATTTCCTTTTTCAGGTCCCCCCCCCCATTCTGGATATTCAGGTAGCCACGAACGTCTGAGGCAGTTCTCTCTTGTGCATTCATAATTCTGGCCAAACCTAGGGCTTCCAAAACTAATACCAGGCAGGAAAGATCCAAACCTTAGTGCTTTTGTGGCTTTTTTTTTCTTCCTGGGGCCAGTTTTCAGCCATATTTCCAATGATCAGTCTGTACTCATAGTTATACACTAAATACTTAAACTGTGTGTGCTACAAATGATGTTTTTCTAGCCTGTCCATATAGCCTATTAAACCAGAGTTGGCAGTTTTCCATCCCTTAGGAGAAGAATTTGGCATAAATAATATTGTCATTTGGGCAGGCTAGACATGGTCTGAAGAAGTGACCTTGTATAAATATTGTCTGAGGTATGACTGAGGCTAAATTATATGACAGGGAGCTAGTGTGTAGTCTGGGCTCTGGGCCCTCTTGGTAATGAAGTTACTTCTTGTAGTAATGGAGCCATCTGAATTCAAAATACAGTCAAATGCACCAGAGGTTGTTAAAGACACAGGATCCAGCTTTGTTATGAACCCCTGATGTACTGGGGATGTCAGGACAGTAATGGAGCATCTTTTTGTTCCAATGATTTTGTCTTGGTAAGAGACAAGTTGTCCTAGAGAGTGCCTTTGTGCCACAGAACTTCCCTCAGTGTTGAGACTGCTCGGTAGGCCAAGTGTTTGTTGATTTTCCCACCCACTCTTAGGGTGAGCCGCTGGCACTGAGCACAGAGTCTTTGGTATTGCTGGACTGTTTGTGGTTTACCTGGTATATTGGTAGCATAACACAGTCCCGCCAGGGACAGTTGCTTTCTATATCCTCTTTCAACATCCAAATTTAGGATTCATTTCCTCTTTCCTGTATTCTCTTGCCCACCAGTCTCCTCATTTCCAAAATGTCTTCGTTTCCCTTCTCCTCCTCCTATTAATTGATCTGCCAGCCTTGTCTTCCAGAATGGTGATTTCATTACCAGTGGTATGTCTATTTACCCACCCAGGCAACAAATATGTACTGAATGCCAACTGTGCGCCAAGCATTTTGGTCTCTATTATAATAAAATTTACTTAGTAGTGGGAGAGTTAAATATTTGACAGATAACCACACCATGGCCACAGAGTTATAAGTTAGAGCTAATGTTCTCTAGGCAAAAAGCAAGGCTCTTTGCTAGCATACAACAAAAGAGCTGAGATTGGGCATCCAGGAGAAGTTCTGCTGAGGAGAAGAGAGTGAGGGCCACATCGGGAAGGCCATGTAGACCTATCGTAAAAATTGTCACTTGGATCGGATTTGTGTTTTGGAAAACCCACTTGGTTGCAATGGGGACATATGACTGGCAGACATGGAAAATGTCAAAGCTAATCATTTACAACAGTAAAGTTGAAGGGGGTGGGCTTGATACCATGTACGGGGAAAGGGAGAACAGGATTTGAGTTGGGCAAGGGGCAGGGATTGTTAAGGATGACTGAGAGTTTCCATTTGTTTTGGGTGCACATTTACTGAGGGGAAAATACAGCAAAGCAAGACTAAAATTGTGTGTGAGTGTGAGTGTGTGTGTGTGTGTGTGTGTGTGCTCTGTATTTCCTGAGGAAGAGCCTTAAAGCAATAGAATTCTTGGAGATTTTCAAAGAACTAGCAAGGATGGGGGTGACGTGGAATACAGAGTATCCGTAACAGGAAAATCTGGTGTCTGAAATGCCCGAGAATCTGAACCTTTCGAGTACTATAACGACACGGGGAAAACCCCATGCATCATATTGCAGGTTGCAGATAAAACGCA